GCCCAACAGGAAAATTCTGATGGGGCGCCTTTTTCTCTTTCCCTTTTGATGCCTGAGGGAACTGGGACACTCCCCTCCTTCCTCACGTGGCTTTTTCTTTCTTTCTTTCTACCTTTCCCCATCCCAAATGATTACAGTATTTACAAAAGTGAGGGGCTAGTTTGGAAAATTAAGAAACATGGTCCTGTTGCAGTCATCTAAAGACTCCCGACTTGGAAACATAACCATGCTTGGGGTGAAAATGGGGTGTATGGATAAGTAGTCGCTGCAGAACGTGGATCCCTCGGGTGGTTTAAACCAGAAGTGACCCTCCTCTGTGGGCAATAGTTGCTGAGCACGTGAAGAACAAATGACTTTCTCAGTGAACTCAAGTTCATGAACGCTGCCTAATCACATTCTGGAGCATTTGGAGACACATCCCCATGGACAGTGATTTTCATTTTAATAATATTTAATTTCCATGCACTTTAAAAAATTTATTTTTTTTCTTATTGGAAAGACAGATATACAAAAAGAAGGAGAGACAGAAAGATCATCTGTTCTCTGGTTTACTTGCCAAGTGTCTGCAATGGCCAGAGCTGAAGCCATCTGGAGCCAGGAGCCAGGAGCTTCTTCTAGGTCTTCCACGTGGGTGCAGGGTCCCAAGGCTTTGGGCCGTCCTCGACTGCTTTCCCAGGCCACAAGTAGGAAGGTGGAAGGGAAGTGGAGCAGCTGGGACATGAATCAGTGCCCATATGGGATCCTGGAGGATGCAAGACATGAATTTAACCACTAGGCTATTGTACCGGGATCTCCATACACTTTTTGAAGATTCTTCATATGCCTGGTTACCAAAAATTTTTTTGTACCAAAATAAACTTCTTCTAGCTTCATTTTTTGTGAACTTCTGAAAATTCCCCCCATACTTAGATTTGATTTCAAGTGACATTCAAAGATAAGTTATGCTAAATTCAAGTTTGAGAAATATAAATTAATGTGATTGTTTTATGTTCTTATTAATACTATAGAGAATTTAAAATCGAGCTTATTGTATTTATAGACTCAGAACTGTGTTACATTTCTGATTATTGCTTCATTTTTATGTTTAGAATAATTTTCATTAGTCCTTTTTACACCTAGAGTCTTTCTGATGATGAACACAGATTGAAATGAAAATCACTGACTTTGAAACTCTTTGTATTGCATTTACCTGTTCAGACAATGAGTCTTTGACAGTAAACTCAAACTTCAGGGGCAGATGGTGGGCAGGGTACTGTCATGTGGGCATCAGGTGCAGAATGGGTCCTCCCTGCCTTGCCTGCCACGCGTTCTCCATCACTAGCCAAGTCAGGACCTGAGCGGAAGGGGGCCTGACTCTTCATGGCACTGTTTCACAGAACATCTCTGAAAACAGACCTGAGCGTTCTTGAAAGTTGGACTTAGTGGTGTCAACTTTTTCCATCAGCAAGGTTTAATCAACTTGTTTCCTTATATGATTTAAAACAGACAAGGTTTTTTTGAATACTTCTTCCTTTGACACCAATTTTTGGATGACAGATAGGGCTCAGAAAGCCAAGTGTTGGCTTTCCTCCTGTAGGATGAATCCCTTAGGATGCTGGGTGACCCAAAGAATCCCAATGGAGTGGCGCGGCACTTGGTTGATTGAAGAAAAAGTCTGAGAACTCTCCTAGCCAGATTATCAGATGGGAACCCGGTGTATGCAGAGAGACAACCACATTACTGGGATGTGAAGAATCCAGACGAGAATGCAATAGAATGGAAGATGAGACAAGGCCGTCCGGAGCCTGGGTGAGGTGGCAGTGAGGACTTGGCAGTGAGGTCATGTGCAAGATAAGAAGGGCCAGTGTTGGCTGCAGGGTGTTTCCCAGAGTAATTTGCAGAGTTGTTTGATGTCTCCCAAATGAAAAGATAACATAAGAGACAACCATGGGTGAAAAAGGAAATAGTTTTGGATATTCTGGAAATAGTGAGGGGAGGGGGGAAGTAGCAACATGATAGGAAGAAACTGATCAGTAGGAGTAAGCCCCGAGATTGTGACAAAAACTGACGTCTTTGGAGTCGCTTGCATTCTTGTTTGCATCCTTCACTCTGCAGACTGGTTTGAACCAGAGACTGTGTTCACAGAAGGAATCGCTTGTTTAAAAGTTCCCTTTTTGCCTCTTCTTGTATTTATCTAGCGTATGGTAGCTCAACCGGTAATCCAAAATGCTCCAAGCCTTCTTCTCAAATAAAAGAGATTTGAACTGGCTCAAAAACGTTGGCATCACGGTGGCCCTCCAAGCTCCCTTGCCAGGGTTTCCCAGGACACTCTGCTGCTGTTGAAGTCTCCCGACACACAGCACACAAGATCTTCAATCCACGAAGCCACCAAGCCTTCATTTCTGAGTCTTCCTCCCCCCTCGGTTAGTGCCTTACGTGTCCGAGTGTATGTGTTTCATTGATTCAATGAATAACCTAAATACACAAGACAGCACAAAGATAAACTAGGAGCCCGGAGTTCTGTGTTCCAGTATCAATTCTTCTACTCATTCAATTCAATTAAGTTCTGTGTTCCAGTATCAATTCTTCTACTCATTCAATTCAATTCAAAACGATGTAATGGGTTCCCTGTTGCATACAAAGAATCCGGATAGATAACAAGAGGGAAGGAACTCCTGCTGAAAGCAGTGTGGAATTCTGCAGACACGGTTAGCGGAGAGAAAAGAGTGGGCACGTTTGTAAACAATCCTTTCGCACACGTGTTGATTTGCCTGGGATTCTGCTTGGTTTTTGTGTATTCCATCACTAGTGACTGTACATTCCCAAGACAGAAAGTGAGGCCTCGCTAAAAGTTTCACACACTAACAGCCATAATTAAAGTGGGAGGCCTGATTTAAGCAGTAATTACCATGCGGGAGCTTAAAGAGGAAGCAGAATGCTAATTCATTTAGAGCTAATCGACCTGCCTTCTCAGCTGTGCTGTGTTAAGTCCTGGGTACAGAAGAGCATGTGGACTCAGTGGAGTAGAACTTTCCTGATTCTGGCTTCACCCCGAAGTTTCAGGTTCTAACTCTGCAGTAAAGTCAATCAAAATAAATTTTGCAAGTATTGTGAAAATGTCAGGTAAGCCTCTGTGGCAAAATCATTAGCCCCGGATTGTTCTTGATCCTTACGGAGCCTACGGCCGGCCTGGTTTATCTAAGTTAATCCCACACAAGTATCGATAGTGCCCCATTCTGTGCTCAAAAGTATTTCAGTTTGGTGATAAATCGTGAGGTCACCTTAGTCACAATCAAAAGATGACACAGCATACAACAAAGATTGTGGTAACTAGGGGCGTGGCTAAGCTACATTTTCCCTAGACGAAATGTCAAGGTCGTTGGTTCTCCTTCCTGCTGGCTTCCATAAAGATGATCAACAAAGGATGTTACTGGGCTTAAGAGGGTTTTTTTTTTTTTTTTTTTTTTTAATATTTTTAGATAGGACAACTAGTCCACTGGGAATTTTATCATCATTTTGCCAAGCTTCTTGTTCTGCCAATCTTTTTGGCTCAACGAAGAAACACCCGCCTGTCTGAGCTGGGGTTCCCTGTAGCTGGGGTTCCCAGATCCACAAACAGGCCGTGGGGGAGGAGCCTCTGAGGAGGCTTCACGCCCTGAGCACGCTTCCTTGGGCTTCTCACACAGAACAGGTGCTTCCTTGGGCTTCTCACACAGAACAGGTGCGGCGGCCTGCTGGGGGCCAGATGGCACCCACCATCTAGCTACACCTTGCCCAGTGAATGTGCTGGTTGGCACACGGGAGACCTCCACAGTCAACAAGATACCCTTGGCTGAGTGCTAGATGCTGCTTGATAGAGGCATGGGGGTGGGAGAGGACCCTAATATCATAGAGGGTCTGCCCTCAAGGGGTTAATAGTCTGCAGGGAAGCAATCAAACACAGCAGAGTCAGGATTCCTGCGCACCCCACCTTGGGGCTGCGGGGCGGAGGTGGGGTGGCCTGCAGGACAGGCTCGCTGCACAGATCCAGTCCCCGAATGTGCAGCACCCCCATTGGTCTCTGAAACTACACACACAGTGTTTTTTTTTTTTTTTTTTTTTTTTTTTTGCTGGCAGGCTAGCAACTTTCCCTCAAGGTTAATGAGTAATCCAAATGAGCATTAGCTCATTTTGCAAATATGAATATTATAATGTGGCAGAACACCACGCTAAAAGCTCTGTCCTAGTGTATGGGTCAAGGTGCATGATCATTGCAGTCGCATTCGCCATTTCCTCCAAAATAGAAATAAAATCATCCCACTTTCAGAAACTTAAAACGAGGACGGCCCAGGGGGCCGGCTAGCACTGTGACGGAAAGCATTCTTTAGAGTGAACCGCGGATTGCAGCGCCGCTAGCCGGACCTGGGCCTTGGGAGAGGCAAGCACCTTGTCCAGCCCTCCCCATCGGCGCGGAAAGCCAGCCCGAGCGACAGCGGGGTCCGCGGAGCCCGGGGACCAGCTCGGTCAGGGCAAGGCACCGGACTCCTCCCCTCCCACGGGCTTCCCCGCCCCGCCTTTTCTTCGGTTAGCCACGACCCGAGCCGAAACTTTGTAACCCGAGCGCTGGCGCGCTGCGCTCCTCCCCGCCAGGGCGGCCCCGAGGGCGGCGCAGGAGGTGGGCCCCGCGGGCGGGAAGGCTCGGAGGCCGGCGCACGCGGAGGAGGATCCGGCAGAGCTCGCTGCTCCCCGGGCTGCACTGCAAAGGTTGTAGGGCTTGGTCCCCGCCGGGAGGCACCCCCGCGGCGAGGCTGGGGGTCGCTCGTGCTGGCAGCTGCAGACTCCCAGGAGCACAGCAGCTGGGCCCGCGGAAAGGAGGAGGAGCAGGCGCCGCTGGACCGTGGCAGCTGGAGGAGGAGCGCACAGCTGTCCCGTGCGCCGGCGAGAGGGCCGCGCTCCTCGGGCTAAGTGGCGCGGGCTGACCCGCTGAGCTCCGCCATGCAGCCTTGACCCGGCGCCGCGACGCGCAGCGAAACGGCCGCGGGGCGCAGGCAGCAGCACTTCCCCGCCGACTCCGCAGCTGGCAGCCAGGCCCCTGTACCATGGAACCCGTGACGAAGTGGAGCCCCAAACAAGTGGTGGACTGGACCAGAGGTGAGCGAACCTGGGGGAGCCCCGGAGTCGTCCGGCGCAAGGAGGAGGCGGCGGGGGGCCCGAGTTGGGGGTGGGGAGGGGATGGAGAGTGACTGGATCCCTTCTCCGGCGAGACGCGAGGAGCGCAGCGTGGCGACCGTGCAAAACTTCTGCCGAGTGGCGTCCCTGTCCCCGCGCCCGTGCGGGCCGACGGGTCCTTTCCAGGGTGCCGGTTTTGCGGCGAGCCGAGGGGAACCCCCTGGGGGGAAGCCAAGGGCAGGGCTGGGCTTTCCTGTGCAGGGTGAGCACTGGGGGTGTCGGACTCGGAGCTGGCTTGGGCCGGGGTGGGAGACGCTCTGCCTGCTCCGTCCCGGGTGCGGTGCCCGGCGACCTGGCTTTGCGGCGCCCGGGGCGCAGCGGCACAAGGCGTCTTTGTGTGGGCGACTCCCGCTGGCCCTCGTAAAGGCCGCCGGCCTGGAGCAGCCCGGCGGCGCGGCGGGGCGGTTGGACAGGTACAGGGGAGACTCGGCGGCCAGGCGGCCCCGTCTGTTTTTGTTGGAGAAGGCGCAGCGCAGCACAGGCGCCAGTCCCGTGGCCCGTGCGCCGGCGAGCAGTCCAGCGCCTGCGTCCCCCCCGGAGTCAGAGGCTTTTCAGGCCGCATTGACTCAAGTGGGAAAGAGCAGCTTGAAGTGTTCCGAGCCATTGTCTGGAGTCTCATAAGAACCCGGGAGTGGATGGGAATGGGCCACCGGGTCCGGGCACGAGTTTGAATCCTGGGCCCACCCACAGCATTTGCAGGCGCTGCCCGGGGGCTCCCGGGAAAGGTGCTGGGGCCTTGCCCTGTCCACCCAGGAGGACAACAGGGCGCATCCCCCGGCCGCCTCTCGGTTTCAAGTTACTATTCCCCCCCCCTTCTATCTGCTCTTTCAGGTGAGGAATGGTGTCCTCCCCCATCATAATAACTAGACTTGGGTAGCGCTTCCCAGTTTGCCAGGAGCTCTATGTTATTGCCCTTGGGCACCCCGCTAGGCTGTGAGGTAGGTAACGACCAGGTAACGACCAGGTCATCTTCCACCTGTCTCACCCATGGCCGCAGCATGATGGAAACCCATCATTCGCACGCCTCATTTCTCATGCCTGCCACTTTCACGTCCACCACTGGGGTGCGGGGCGTGGCAGTGGGAATGTCTGACCCGTGCCTGCGTTCTCCGGGAAGGGGTGTGTGAGGTGAATTCCTGCACTGGGATCTCAACCACCATCACTCTGGGACTTGGGTGACTTTTCTGGGTAAAAAGAGCCAAGGGCTTTGCCCGTGCTTGGCAGCAGACATAGACTTCAAACTTGGAAAAGGTCCCTACTCCTTTTTTTTTTTTTTTTTTTTTTTAAAAAAAGGTAGATTTCTCGTGTCTTATTAACGACCGGATCTGCCCCGGGAGCTTGCCCGGATGATCCCATCTGCTTTACCGGCTTGGCCATCCTGGCTGCGACTTAAGACAGTTTGGGCAGCAGTAACCTCTGGAGCTGTTCCGTCCAGGACAGCAGCCAGTGGCGGCAGGTGGCTTTTGGACTCTTTCCATGTGGCCAACCGGAATTAGGATGGACTTTAAGAGGAAAGTACAGGTAGCATTTGAAGACTTGGTATGAAAAAGAATGTAACATCTCATTCATGGTTTCTGCGTTTGTCAGGTATTAGCATCATGGTTGGGACATATTGGGTTGAATTATATGTGTTACCAAATTCGGCTTCACTTGTGTGTTCGTAGCTTCTGGAGTATGGCTCTTAGAGAACTTGGGGAGGGGCGGGCACCTGCTCACATTTGAGGCATGGATTTTGATTCTGTTGAGCCGCACTGCTCTGGGGGAAGGAAAGGGTTACAGCTCACTCCCCTGGCCCTCTGGAGACTCTGCCAGCCTACTTGATAATGCGCTACCAGAAAACTGGTAGCAGGCACCGGGTGGGAAGATCGTGAAGTGAGATCTTCACACTCTAAATTTGTGTCTTTTTGTTTTCTGCCCTCCGTTCCTCTCCTGACGCCCCACTGGGATTGGGAGAAGGAGCATAAATTCACTTCAGTCTTGTTTGTTTAGTGTTTGAAAAGGACAGCTGCTTCCAGTGTGTCTTGGGTGTCCTCCTGTCCGGGCTTGATTCATCCAGGAGATGCATCTTGCTGCGTCCAGGATCTGTGACACTTCCTTGAATGCATCCAGTACTTCCCAGCTTCATACAAAATGCTTGGACCACCGAGTACTGGCCCACAGAATGGCCTGGGTGCTTTTGATATCAGAATCGAAGAGGAGGAGGCAGGGGGCGAGTTCTCCAATGGCAGGAGGACACCCCCTCAGTGCGCCACAGCTCCTGAGCAGTGATGCGCAGAGATTGAAGTATGGATAGAAACTAGTGGCTGATGCACACTTGTTTGCTTACAGGACTATTTTTAGCCGTCTGTGCTAATCTCTCTCCCCAGCTCCCTTGTATAAACACATCCCACTGATAAGCAGCTCTTCATGCGGGCTTTGCTGCTCTGGTATCGCATGGACGGGTGTGTGGTAAGGATGAGCTCTTGCTTTACAGCTGTCCAACCTGGCCGCCCACGATAGCCTGTGGTCATGTTCAGGCAGTAAGGAGACTCACAGGAAAGAAGTCGGAGTCTGCGGAACAAATGGGTTCATCCGGCTGTGTTACTTGGTTTCCGTGATGCTGACACCGGTTTTACCATGATCCTAGCGGACCCCAGGTGCAGACTAGCAGTGTGCAGACACAGGCCTAAGCATTGCAGATGTTGACTTGCTTATGTGCACAAACTTCTTTTTTTTCTTTTGTGGTGGGAACTGCTGGTTCCCTTTAGTAGCCCGGAAGCTGCGTCGCAGAAAGGTGACGTCCATCCGGGGAGGTGGCAGAGAGATGTCCAATAGCATGTGTTCGGCTCTTCTCCGCTTCCTCTCAATAGTTCCGCCCCCCCCCCAGGCCACACCCAGACCACACCAGGAATCTGTGCCCCTTGTAGGAACACTTCCTCAAGATCTTCACGATGCGAGTTATTAGGGTCAGCTGTGAGCCTCGGAGACTCATCTGGACTGTTGGTGCCTAATGCTACCTGCTGTGTGTATGCCAGGGGCTATTTGTAAATCCAGTTAGTCCATAGTTTATGGCGGCTTGCCAGTCAACCAGCTCACTAAAGTTCTTCTATAATGTGTAGTGTCAGCTGCATGAACCAGGGTCGGGGGCTAAACCAGATGGGAGCTGGAGTTTTCTCTTGCCAAGAAGCCTGATACAGGGCTGCGAGGGAGCTGGGGAACCCAGGTTCCCATCCCGCCCAGCCAGGCCTGATCTGCTGCTTGTTTTATCCACCATGCTTCAAGGCAGGGTGGCTGCTGGATGATCCTGGGGCAGACTGGGGTGGGGACACCCCCGGCAGAGACCAGCCTTGCTGGCAGCACTCTCTACTGCCTTCAAGGAGTTCCCTGAGCGCCTCCAGTCGGTGGCCGGGCTCACACCTCAGAGGCCAGAGGTGTCGTGTGGCCCCGGCCTGCGGCAAGGGACGCTGGTCACTCCTACTCTACGAGCTCTTGAAGTGGGGAAACTTGTGGCCCTGAAAAATAATTGGATTTGGCAGAAAGAGAGAGTGGAGGTTTGTGGGCAGCCAGGACTGCCTGCCTGACAGGAATCAACAGGTACCCACGCTCACAGTCCATTCTCAGAACGCGGGACATGGTCTCCGGCTCACGTGCAGCCCGCTGATCAGGTGTGCCTCTGCAATGCTGTTGCATTTTAATGAGGTCATAATCTTAATATGAAGTCTCTGTGACAGATTGCACATGTTTTGTTGTCATATGAGTTGTGTTTCTGCTCTCAAGCTGCTGAGGAGTGTGCCACTGGCTGGTGCCTGAAGTCCTGGTTTGCACTTGGCATGGGACAGGCAGTGCCAGTGTGCTGTTGCATGAACACATACGCGAACCCTGCCTGGCTTTTGTCTGCAGAACAGGTGTAGCTGGCAGAGGTTACGTTTCACAGCAGCGTCCAGGATGCAGGGAGCAGCTTTGGGTCCAAGCCTGAGCCTGTGGGACCCAGGGCATTTCCCCATCCTCCATCCCCTGTGCTGTGTCCTTGCACTGTCCGTCAGCGTGTTAGATCACCACACTTACGCCATCTGGTTATGCGGGCTCTATGGAGAGCCTGTGAGTGGTGGGTCAACTACTGTCCGTTTGGAGGCTGGTGCCTTGTGCAGCCCTGGTTCTGGCTCAGGCTGTTTCTTTTTTCTTGGCCTTCAGGGTTGCTAGAACACGAAATTCCACTTCCTCTCTGGTATCGTTCTCTTTTGTACTTAATAATAAAGTTATTTTTTTAATCATAAACCTAGAAAAGCATTTATTTTGTAGCAGATGTTGCCCTAAATGCTTTCTTCCTTCTTCTTCTTCTTTTTTTTTCAGTTATTTTAATTTGAAAGGCAAATTCACAAAGAGAAGGAGGGACAGAGATATTTTCTCATCTGCTGGTCATTCCCCAAATGACAGCAATAGATGGAGCGGAGTGGAGCTGTTCTGAAGCTGGGAGCTTGGGTGCAGGGTTCCAAGGACTTGGGCTATTCTCTGCTGCTTTTCCAGGCATATTAGCAGGGCCCTGGATCAGAGGTGGAGTAGCCAGGACTTGATCCGGTGCCCATATGGAATGTTAGCACTGTAAGTGGTAGCTTAACCAACTAGGCTACAGTGCCAGCCTGCTTAGGTTTCTTCATTTAGCTCTCAGAACACTCAGTGAGGCAAATGGACTTTTAGTAGCTCATGGTAAATAAATGGACACTGACAGGGGGACTTACACCGGGTCACTGTTCCCAGTGCGGGGACACTGGAGGCCACCCACTGTGTGCTTCTCTCCCTTGGCTTAGGGTAGGCAGGGCGCCTTGTGGTTGGGAGTGGGAGCCCAGGAGCAGACTGCAGCCTCGGCCTGCCTCTGTGTGGTCTTGTGTGACATCTCCATAAATGGCTGTCCCTTCTTTCTACTGCCTCCTCCTTCCTTTCTTCCT